CTAAATATTTATTTAAACATTATACATGTCATGTGTAACACACACACACACACACACACACACACACACACACACACACACACACACACACACACACACACACACACACACACACACACACACACACACACACACACACACACACACACACACACACACACAGTGAGAATGTAATGACTCTCAATCTATAGGGACCACGTATATTTAATGACAACTATGCCTACAGTGTGCAGTGCCAATGAGCCCAAAATCATACACCTGTACCTTCTGTCCGCGGAGCAGACAGTCACACACCAGCAGGCAGCAGGGATTTAACATAGAGACTGCAGGCGACATGTGCACTTCACAATGCATCAGAAATCTGTCAAACCACCCTTTCTGATCAGCGAAGGTTATACATGACTTTAACAAAGCTCGTGGCACTGAGTAACGTTTTATGATACACCTGCTGGAGCAATTCAACTGAATTTTATATTATACTGAACTATACGCACTGCCATGAAATTCTAATGAGATATTTAATGTCCCAATCAAATATCATTGATGCTTCGGTCGTGCGTAATTTGTCGCCATTTGTTTAACTTACTGAATAGTGCGCATTCAAATATCTCCAAGTGAGCTCTCGAAGCTTTTTCCACCGACTAGACAGCTGCAAATCGTTTGCCTCCAACACCAATCATCACCTGTGGTACGCAATTTGGACACTTGTTCCTTTTCAAATGTTCCTCTCATGTCCAAATTACGCACATATAACAGTTTTAGCAACTAACGCTGAGCAGAATAACAGAGAATGTAATATCTATTTCCTCAGGGATAAACATTTTTCAATAAAGCAACCTCGGAACACACATTTAAAGTCAAAATAAGCGCTACCCACGTAGTTATGCACTCACCTTTTCTCCTATATCTCCCTTTACAGACGAGTCTTCACTCCAAAGTGGCGTGAAACAAGGGGGAAAATCCCGAAGCTCCTCCCAAACTGTAGCTCCTAGTGCGCATCTTGTGGCTCGACAGTGCGTTCCTGAGGCAGGTCTACAGGACACAGACAGTGTCAGCGTCCACATCAGTGCCAGGGACTGTCACCGGAGACCTGCACTTTGCAGATCACATATTTAACTGAGGGCTCTTTGTGATTTCATTTCCAGTGCACAGTAGAATATACAGAATAAATGTAATTCAATATCACAGAATGTCCTTTAAAGAGCCAACTCACAAGAGTAACGTCACTGATTTATTGCTCTTTCCTGTTTTATCTGCATATATCATTCACTTTATTTCCAGGCAGGCTTAACACTTGTTGTTTAAAATCGTATTCATGTATACAACTTTGAATGAACTTTGGAACAATTCACGATTGTAAAGCAAATCCTCATATATTGCTTTATTTGGCATCACATGTCACAACTGATGTCATTTCAGCAATAACATGAGCATATAACTGAGATGTTGTGTTGTTGTGCAACAAGCCCTACTTGCATGCTTTTTGATTCCCTGGAAAAACACACATCTCTCAAAAAACTAATTTCTGTGTGCTCCCTTTATGTCCTCAGAGATTATTCAATTGTAGTACATTTGAATAGGGTTCAGTTGGGAATTTCAATCAATATTTAGTATTCTGGGTGTCATTCACCTGAATTATCTAATTTCCACTGCGGTTTGGGGGATCAGGTTACATTGTGTGTCTAGAGCCATTTCCCCTCATATAATGTAGCAAATATTGGAAAGGATTGTGAAAAGATTGTCAGGAGATGTCTCAAGGCTGACTGTGATATTGTGGACAGAACATTTCCGAGGTAATACAATTATGTACCAAGCAGTTACCTTGAAACATCTTTCAGATTCTTGAAAGAATATCTTAAATAAAAACATTTGCATGTGATTCCATCTCCATTGAATCTGTTTGAAATGTGTTCACCTCATCAGACCTGTAGACTGCTCGCACAGATGTAACAGGAACGTCGCCAGATAATTAAGGACATGTAACATGCTGTCACTTTAAATTAGACATTGACATAGGAGCTTTAGCCACGTGGAAAACCCATTGTCGCGCACTTAAAAAATGTTTAGTGATTTCAATAACAGTGTCTCCCTCGACCTTTCTCTCTGCAATACCCTGGAGCTTTAGAGTCGTCTTTCACCATCACAGCTGAGAATATAGTGAATGGAGAAACATGACATGGGATCCTTGGATTCTTGTGGTGGGATTATATGTAATGGTGCAATAATTGCCTCACTGATTGACTCAGTAACAGATATTTTCCTTATTGATTGTGGCAGGCTGCCCCTCCACCTCAATTTATTCTTTCAATAATAAGAGTTGTCCCAAAGCCTGCATGTGCACTGGGTCACTCGCAGTGAAGCTTGACAGTTCCTTCAGCCTGACTTGTATTCGTTACGGATAAAGGATTCCTGTCCTTGCTTCAAACTTACTTATCTCTAAGGGCTTCTGAAAAGTGGTGAGGTTTTATACTGGTAAAAAAACAAATGTTTGTGTCAATTTAAGTCAACCCGTAGGTCTTTACATCTTTCTTCGTGTGCTCATATAAATCTGCATGCACCTAATTAGTGTGTAGGACCTCCCTCCATATGGCCAGGATTCTGTATTTATGTTCCACTGCTCTCCATCTGATCGCTGTGTCTGTTCAGCTCCTCTGAGAACACTGGTGCCACTGATCTGGTGACATGATCAGAGACTGTGGCGTCCTCACGTCGCAAAGCAACAACAATCACAGCACACACACTGCTAGGGATGTTCTTACTGTCACTCCCTGTCTGTCTGCTTCTCTTTGTGTAGGCTTTGTGAATTATACATTGAGTAGAGGATATTATACATTGAGTAGAGGATGACAGACAAACAGAGAAATCCCATTTGAGCCTCCTGCTTTTTTGGTTTTTTGTCTCCAATATAGGTTAAACTTGACAGGTGGACAGTGTAGCCATAATGCAGATAACAGCCTTTAGTTTTCAGTGATCCAAAATATTGATTTGAAAGGGTAGACTTTCAGTGTCAGTCAAATTGGATTTCTTGGGTAAACATGTGGGGTGCTCTAGTCATACCTTATGGTGTTATTTTATTCTAAGGCATGGCCAATGTTTCTAGGAAAGCAACATGGACATCTATCTCCATGCCCATATTGTCTAAAACATGACTCTAGTGACAATTACATTAGGCGTCTATTTAAACCTACCATTAGGCTATGTCCTTGGTAATGTTTCCGGCAATATGGAGGCTTTAACAATGTGAGAGGGACTTCTGCATTTCACATCTACTTTTCACACTAATTATAGAGGGTGGACTGTCCTTGTATACATATTATTCTGTACCGAGACTCCTGCATTTACATTGTCACTTGCAACATTCTCTGCATTATTTAGCTTATTTTCCTGACATATAGTTTACTTAATCTGCATTACTTGCACATTGGTCTGCAATATAATCAGCACAATATTTTTCTAATCTATTCTATCCTGTTTCTTCTTGAACTTTTTTTTAAATTCCATTTGAATTTCTTAATTTTTTTGTATTGTTTCATGTCCTATATAACTATTTTGCAATGTTGGAGGAGCCTGGGACTCCTGGGAGTTTCATTGCCATTTCTACACTGTAGCTACTGTGCATGACATTAAAGACTTTGAATCTCGAATCTTAGCCTGTGAAATAAAACAGTTCGAAAATACCTCTGCCCTGAGGAGACCTTTCTAAAGTCTAAAAAACGTACCCTGTTCATGTCAGATGATCCAGTTCTTCAAACCAAAAAGTCAAGATATCTCGGTGTCTCCTGCTCGGATACTGTCCACTCTTTTAAAAAACAGTCTCCTGGTACTGCGCCAACTTTATGGAACTCTTTGTTTAGCCCTACAGGCACCACAAGCTAAGTGCAACCAAGTTCCATTATTTCCAGTGGTGTAATGTAATGAAGTATACATTTACTCCAGTAGCCTACTGTACTTAAGTTTAATTTTGGGGGACTTGTAGCCTAAGTATTTTCTTTGTATGCTACTTTATACTTCTACTCCACTCCCTGAAATGGGATATTACCCACAAAGTGTACTTTTACACTTGGTACATTAAAGGTGGGGTAGGTAAGTTTGAGAAACCGGCTCGAGATCGCGAGAATTTGAAAATACACAACCGGAGAAAATCTGCCACTTCCTTATAGAGCCCCTCCTCCAACACACACGAACGCGCACATGACCAATGAGGGCACGAGATAAGTTTGTGCACAGATGGAAGGCTGACAGGCAGGTAGGCCATCCAGTTATTTTAGCCGGCCCGGCTAAAATGATTGGTCGTGCTTTTTACAGTATTACGGCTTCCACAGATGACATTTTTTTATGGATTTTTTGTCAAAGCACTTAAGATATTCATTGCTATCGGGATGTTAAGAGCATTCCATGGAATATAACAAAAAGTGTATCTCGAGCCGGTTTCTCAAACGTACCTACCCCACCTTTAAGTATAATTTGATGCCAATACTTTTTTACTCCTACTCAAGTGAGATTTTGTATGCAGGACTTTTACTTGTAACAAAGTATTTTTACACTGGACTGGTAGCTGGAGAGGTGCCAGTTCACGTCCTGGGCACTGCCGATGTGCCCTTGAGCTTCTTCTCCAACTTTTCACTGGTAACAAATCTGAGTAATAATAATAATAATAATAATGCATTTTATTTATGGGCGCCTTTCAAAGCTCTCAAGGACACCTTACAGAGCATAATTAAAAACAAGCAACAAAGAAGATCACACAGTAATACAAGACTTCAAAAACAAAGACTTAAAAACAAAGACTTAAAAACAACAATCAGTTTACAGAGTACTCCTTCCAGCTTTGATTATTTTCGAGAGAAGGCATGTGTTTAGTTGTGATAAGTGCCACAGAAACGTGAGGAGTCTTAGAGGGAAAATTAATAACTGACTGCCTTCATTCCAGTATTCACGACCTGCTGTTTGCTGTGAAACCAGAGGACCAATCAAAGGTGGGCGTGTATCTCGCACATGCGCAGTTGTCTTGTACGTCTTGTTCCCAAACAGCAGCCAAGCCGTGGGATCTGCGAGCAGACGAGGAACTTTGAAGTATACCTGGCTACACAAATCTCTAAACAACAGACCACGTAAGTTCACGAGAGGTTTAACTAAAGTTTATTAAAGTCACCATGCCAAAGCATTACATTTGCATTCCTTTGTGTCGCTTGAAAAGTACTTTTGCTGGCTGCTATACGTAGCTAAACACTAGCAGGCTTCAAACCGTGTAAAACGAAACAATACAAATCACCAGCTAGCTTAAAGAGACCCTATATCAGACCATTTCCACTCCTACATTGAACTGCCTGTCGTTTTTATTGAAGCGGGTGCATAGCATAACCTCAGGAACATGTGCAGCTTTATTTGCATCGATGTGTTATCAGTGACGGACTTCACAGGGAAGGAGCACACCCAACTCAGTTGGATCAAAGTTGAGACTGAGCCAAACAAACAACATGTTATGCTGCGTTCCATCCACACAATAGTCCTTGTTCATCTTTATTTTATGTTTTTTATTGTATTTCCTAACATTAACCTTATTTCATGTTATTTGTCTCATGCAGTTGTGGAATGAGTACATTTCCTCAAGTAATGTACTTAAGTATACTTTTGGGATACCTTTACCTTACTTGAGTATTTCCATTTAATGATACTTTGTACTTGTACTTCACTACATTTCATGTATTTATTAGACACTTGTAGTTACTTTAACATAACATTGTGTTTATATGTTATATATTTTACTACTTATTTACTCAGTAGGCTACTTTCCAAAATGTGCTTCATATTTGGAAATTACAACATACATGTATATACATTTTCTAATGATTATTCAGAATAGTATAATATTCTCTAATAATACAACACATTTATAAGCGGCATTCTGCACAATAAGTACTTTTGATACTTGAGTACATTCAGCTGATAATACTTCTGTACTCTTACTAAAGTAACATTAAACATGTTTAGACTGTGGTATTAGTACTTTTACTGAAGTAAATGATCTGAGTACTTTTTCCACCACTGGTCTCATGTTATCTTTGTACACTTTGTGCCTCTTCTCTTTTGTTAACTCTTGGAAATCATGCTGAATGTGGACTTTTTATTTTATTTTTAGGGAAATAAACGAATGTGTTTCTGCAATCTGGCCTTGAAAAGCTACAGTTTTTCTCTTGTTGTGTCTCTCTCTTCCTCTAGATTTTTGCTTTCACTTTCTCTGTGTGGACTGACACACAAAGCAGAGCACCGTTGGTCATGGCTGCTGCGGCTCCGTCCTGTAAAGGCAGCCTGAGAGAGGACCTGACGTGCGCCATCTGCTGCGACCTGTTCCGGGAGCCCGTCATGTTGGCCTGTATGCACCACTTCTGCAAACCCTGCATCTCCAGGTACTGGAGGGGGGCTCAGGGGCCTGTGACCTGCCCACAGTGCCGCAAGGAGTTCAGCTCCAAGCAGTTTCAAACTAACTACCTGGTGGCGGCCATGGTGGAGAAGGTCCGGGTCACCACCTCGGACACTTACATCAAAAACCTCGAGGTGAGTTCAGACCTCCTGCTGGCTGCCTTCCATGCCTTTTGCTCCTAGTCGTCTTTGTTATAAGTATTTGGCAATCTTATACAAATAACCTTATGCTCCAAAGTAAACCAGTTGATTAAAAAGGAGTTCTCTCTAACCTTTGAATACAAATGTTTTCTCTTCAGTGTACATCCGTGTTTATTTCACTGTAGTTCCACCCTGAACACATCTCACTTGAATAGCTCAGGGCAAACTTCACTCCACTCCCTTTTATATTAGGTTGTGTATGACAGGATATACGACTTAACCACAGCAGGGGAAACAATATACTCTGCCAGAATAATAAAAAACACTCGTAAAAAAATGCTATAATAAATCATACCTTTGTGATTCCTTTTTTATATGTAATTATTGTTCATATTGTGTCGGAATGTGTTTATTCAACTTTATGGTTCTTTCAAAATAAATACTTTAAGATTTTGAAAGATAAGACGACCAATATCACTTCAGTTTATAGAGAGCCAGCAGCTGGTTAGCCTAACTTAGTATTAAGGTTGAAAACATTGTCAAACAGCTAGCCTGGCTCTGTATTACCGCAATACAAAATACCTACCAACAGTTCAATAAAGCTCACTCAGTAACACTTTATATCTTGTTTGGTTAATCCATACAAAAACAACACATGGCATATTTAAAAGCCCTTTTTGTCAGACTATTTCTTGGCTGGATAAAGTCTGCTGGATGTCTGTCGAAATGTTCTCTTATCTAGGCCTTAGTGTGGGCTGTCGTTCCAGTAGACTGCATTCAATTGAAATGTATTTTTGCTCATCCATATATGTAAACTACGTGGGAAAAATACTAGTTCTACATCTTTTAAAAAAGTGACGGTTAAGTGCAACAACAACACAAAGTACATTCTCTGTTGAATATGGGTTCCATGATGCTCTGATCAGTCTCTCTCTTTTGCTTCTGACTTAATTGACATGTTGTTGTACAGAAACAAGTGAAAGAGATGTTGGAGAGCCAGCGCCTGAGGAAGGAGGACTTCATCAACAGTATTCGCAGAGACAAAGACAAAATGGACACCATAAAGGTACACTCCTCTGCTCACCTCGAGTGGTGGCAGCACTTAGCAGATAAGAATGTACATGAAACTCCCTAATGGCTGTTTGCAATATGCCGCTGTGCATATTTAGTGCTGTTTGCAGATGGTGGTAAGTGACAACTTCTGCTTTGATTTGTCAAAACATAATGGGGCTTGCGCCTCGGTGCATAAATGCCTCTCTAACCTCTGACTTCGTTGTGTGTCGACTTTGTTAAAGAAATATTTGCTGTGCAGTCTTTTTCTCACATGGTAATTATTTGCTTCAGCAGAGAGACTCAGTGCATCAAAACAAGACCTTGTTATTTAGCTTTAAGATGATTAAACATCCGACAAGACTGGGGATGCCACAGTAAATGACTTTAAGTTGACAATTAATGTCATACAAATGAATCCGATTTACTATTTAATTGTCTTTTTCTGTTGCTATTGCGATTGACTATACAACAACACCTTAATCCATATTGTAAATCGTTACAAATTGTATACATAAATGACTGCTCTTTAAAATGGTGTGATCGCTTGGGAAAAAGGTCAATTCATATTCAAATAGTTTATTGAAACAGTATTTTATGTGTCACTGCACATATTTCAATAGTTTCTTCTTTATCTTTACTATATATATATACATACATACATATACACTTTATATATGTGTCTATCTGTGTGCTCATCTGAGCCTCCTTCATATTTTCCCTCTTCTTCTTCACCTTCTTCTATCCCAGGTGTGAAATCCTCATCTTTCTCATCATCTTGAGCGCGCCACATCTGAATCTCCCTTACCTCTCTGCTTCAGTTCTGTCTCCTGAAACAATGTTGAGTCATTAAGTCCACGAAGATGGTCCTGATGTCCACTATCGTTTACATTTAGAAAACAGCTGTTATTTCCAAAATGCAAATTATTTAACTGCTTTCAGAACTAATGATATCGTTCCTAACATGTTAATAAACAAGAACATATATGATTTTCATAGTAAAAATAACAATAGATTTGACATTTGGCCATTTTGGCTGAAAATAATGAGTAACTTCCCAGCATGCAATTTTAGCAGCATGCCAATGACATATCACTGGAAAGCCCAGGATGTCCTCTGCACAGTGCAGCAGGGATTGATAGAGTAGCTCAAAAGAGTAAAAGGAGATGCATGTTAATAAAATATCCACTACAGAGGGCATTGGTCAATAGGCTGGGTCTCAGGATATATATACATATATTTATATATAAATAAAAACTCATGGTTTCAGACAATAATTGAATGTAGCTGCAGCAGAGACTCTGTCTGCGCTGCACATTTACCGACAACTTTGCTGCTAATTTCTGGATCAACCTCCTCCCTTTCTGTCCCTGATAATCCTTTTTTTTTAATTGTGATTTATCAAATGCTGGATGGAAGCTACAACTCCAGCAGAACCTCCTCACGTCTGCACCAGAAGGGGAGACTCAATAGAGGCGTTATCGATTCCTCTTAGTTATCATCTTGTTATGTAAACCACACATATGGTCTGAAATGAGCCGTAACAGAAGAACCTGTCCAACAGCTCTTTGTGTCCATGTTTCTTTAAGGCCTAGACCAAACTTCATTACACCATGTGACAAACTGTTCACAGGCGACAGAAACTTAAACACATCTAATGCGCGTGAGACAGATGGAAGATAAGAGCTTGCATTTAGACGGCATGCTGTGCTGAGATGATGAACAGGAAATCCTTCCCCCCCCAGTCTTCATTTGTTTGACACGTAGATCTTTGATGCAAAGTGTTGCTTCATTACCCCTTGTTTGTCTCTCTCTAGAGATGTGTACTTTTGGGGAAGCAATTAAGAGCTTTAATGGGACAAGCCAACATAGCTGTGGTAGAACAAGAGATGTGACATTATGTTCTCCATCTGTAACATCGCTCATTTGTCCCTGTTGTAGAGAGTGGGAGCAGATCTGCAGGCTCGGGTCAAAGGGGAGTTTGCAGCTCTCCATCAGATCCTGCAGGATGAGGAGGTCTGCATGCTGGAGCAGCTCAGGAGGGAGCAGGGGGAGGAGGTGGAGAGAGTGCAGCGCCACATGGAGGCCATGGAGCTGGCAGTAAGACAGCTGGAGGAGAATATGAGAGTGCTGCATCAGGCGAGCGCTGACACTGAGAACATCGTCCTGACTCAGGTAAGCTTTGGCTAGGACACAAAGTCTAAAAGAGAATCCAGGTTTGAAGTACATTTTCATGCCTTAAAATAGTCATTCAACTGTGAATGTGTCAATCACATCTGCACTTTTAATAATAGTGTGTCATGTGATTTTTCCTTTTTGCTCTAGCTCCCACAGATAAAGTAAGTGTGAAATATTTCAGTTTGATGAATAATTGATTTTTTGTTGTCGTTTTTGTATCTTTCACATGTTTTTATTTGTGCTCAAAATATATGACCCTCATTTGCTTTTTTCCTACAGGCCATGTGTGCAGGTGAATAACGCCCTGGAGTTTGAAATAAACGCTTTCAGCAACAAATACATGGCCCCATTACAGTACATCACATGGAGAAAGATGTTCAAGTCTCTGAAGCCAGGTAATTTCCTCTCCGATGTGCTTCATTAGATACTAAAAGACTTGCCTCAACAATGGGAGTAATTACTGAATGATTACTGAAATGATAAAAAGATGCTGAAGACGCACAGTAATAACACCATTGTTCCACTAATGATATTTCATTTATTGAAAAATATGACGAACGCACTGTTAAATCTAAATGTCATTAATTCTTTCACCCCACAGGTCCTTCCCCATTAACGTTTGATGTCGACACAGCGCACCCGAGCATTCAGGTCTCCAGGGACAAAACGGCGGTTATTGAATGTGACATCATGATCCCACACAACGACCACAACAAGCGCTTCCTGCAGTGCGTCAACATCCTGGCTGCACAGGGCTTCCAGTCAGGCCGACACTACTGGGAGGTAGAAGTGGGCTCCAAGCCCAAGTGGGACCTGGGCGTGGCCTCGGAGGCCGTCGACAGGCACACTCGCATCAAGCTGAGCCCCGAGAGCGGCTACTGGACGCTGCGGCTGCGTAATGCCGGCGAATACTCGGCCGGCACGCAGCCCTGGACCAGGCTGCAGCTCGTCTCCGCCCCTCAGAGGCTCGGGGTCTACTTAGACTGCGAGGAGAGGAGGGTCTCCTTCTACAACGCCGATGATATGAGCCTGCTGTACTCGTTCACCAACGGGCCGAGGGGCAAGGCGTTCCCCTTCTTCAGTCCGTGCATCAGTGACGGCCGACAGAAACCTCCGCCTATCAAACTCCTCCACTACCCTCCTGTCGCTCTGTCTGGCTAGCATGGGGGCAATCGATACAAAGCTTTTCAGTATGCACAGCCTTCTATTCACTTATTGACCAATAACTGTTAGCACTGCCTTTTTAGCATTATGGGTCTGTATCAGCCATTTCAGATTGCTCTATTGATCAGATATATCTACTTTCTACCTGCAATAAGCCTTTAAAGCCTTGATATGTTATGAACAATGCTATATTCCTTCATTGTAATTGAAATTGTTCTGAAGAAGCTAATTCTATGTGCTGTAGCCATCAACAGAAACATTAAACTAACACTTTATTCAACAATTTTGAATAGTGAAGCCGGATGCATGCGGTTCTTCACTTCTCATCCAAATCTCTTAAAAAAGATGAAGACCGTTCACCTTTCAATGATACTCCTTATATTTATTTTTCATTAAGTCAGACTGTCCTCAGTCGCTTGTAAAAGGTTATTGTTTTAATCACCATTGAGTTTTATCAGCATAAAAGATGTGTGCACTTTAGTTTGAGATGTTACTGATTAAATGGTTCATGTTTGGACTTCAGTCTGAAATGAGAAACAGATGTTCTTTCTGATGAAGTTTAACATCCAAATGTAACTTCATAGCACCTTCACGAGTTCTGTATATGACTTCTAGCAGCTGTTGATTTGTCATTATCTATACAATCATGTATATACATTATACGTGCCTAAATGTAAGTGTAATATAATGCACTCTTGTTTTTTTATAGAGTAAGGAGATATAGTTCTTCACAGGATTCAGTGTATGCAGTATATTTACATTGTTGCCATTGCATGTCAGTTGCATATGACCCAAATGATCACTGTAAAACTGCCGATTCAAACAATAAACCAAATCACTCTTTTCACAAAACGTTGTCTTTGATTCTCTTCTGCAGCTGTGAACCTACACTCTTACATGACCTCACTTGAAATAATCGAGGATGTTATTAAGCATCATCAAAGCAGAAAGCTTGACTATGAATACACAAGTCATCCCTGACACTTCTGGAGAAAGAAGAGGCGGGCTCTCGGTTATCTTCACAAACACACAAAAGCACTGATGTCCTGTTTCCTCCTGCCAGGTGAAAGGTCACAAAAACAGAGTGACAGTGGGGATGCCTCTGGGCCGCTCCACGGGCCTCGGGGGGCCGCTGAAGCAGGATGCTGCTGCCTCCTCTGCAAATTGGAAAAGTGGCACAATGAACTGCACCTGAGGGGGACCACACTCTTCCTGCACAGCGGCGTGTGGGTGCGTATACAACACACTTACAATACACTGGTCAGCCACTCTGACTTGTAACTGCAGAGAGTTAACTTGTTTCCTAATCTGAAGAGAGCAATTACGATTTATTAAATCTGAAGTGAGCATGAGTGGTTCTGTGGCTCTTTTTGGACCACATGTCCTCTCATGGTGCCTCTTGGATTAAAAAAGTGACTGTATAAAATGTATCATAGTATTTGTGTTGTTTTAAATTGTGGTATGTAGCTTCATTAGAGGCATACAAATGTAAAGTTGTACTTTCCATTATTTTCCTATAAACAGTGGGAAAATGGCAAAGTTTAATGTGGAAGTGGTCATGCAAAGATTATCATTGCCCAACTCGTTAGTTCCTCTTAACCCTTTAGCTCATTGTGGTTGCTTTTTTAATGCATTGTGAACATTTTCAAACAGCAAGCAGTTGTCTCTAGCCCAACAAAATGTATTAGACCCACTGTCCACCTTATTTGTCCAGCCCAAAACAACATACTACTAGCTGTTGAACATTGTGTAGCATTTAGCAACCAAACGGCCAGATAATGTTGGGTTGTTATTCTGCTCTCAAGTGGCAAAAAAACTACCAGAGCTGTTCAAAAATAAATTTCCAGTTGAATGAAACAAGCGACCATCTTGCTATGGGATCACAGAACACTAGTTGCGACATCAAACCAGACCAATAAATGGCCTCTTCCTCATTTCCTAGCCCCCTAAATCTTGCCCCCTTGCTCAGATCACATCCATCTTCGGACTTGGCCTTCATTTTGATCTCAAGTTTACCAAAATTGTGATTTCACTTTGCATAGTTGTGACAAAATCTGTCCCAAGACATATTAATACATGGCAAAATACTCAAAACTGCTTCTGTGGTAGTTCCTGCTAAAATAGATGTACCCTTGGCCACATTGGGCAATGAGGACACAAAAACAAACCAGATGAAAATAAAACCAGCGTCCTAGTCATGGCTGGTAATGAGGCAAACTTCAGGTACCATTTGCTTTGACCTCCAGGAGTTCAGCATAGAAGGATTTATGTGGACAAGCTGCTTTTCACTCATTGCTTTAGCTTAAAGGTAAGGTAAAATCCACTTTTTCATGTCTTTTATACATAAATATGTGTTCCCTTTGCGTTAAGAGATTCTGAAAGTTTCAGGAAAAAAGACCCTTTCTCTTTTTGTCCTGATCCATTTATATAAAAACCTGTCTGAAAATGAGCTGATCAGATTTAGGCCACGTTATGATGTCATCATGTTTTTACCATTAAAAACCATTAGCCAATAACCAACCAAGGTAACACCCCCCACCTTATCACCTGAATCTCCTCCTAGAGCACCAATGTGTTATTTTTAACCAAATATCTCTCAGAGGGGCGTGGGGAGTGGCTCCTTATTTTCATCTAAAGGCCTGGACACACCGGGCCGATTTCGGCCGTCGATAGATGTCTGGCCGTCGATGAGCGTCCTGTTGCCCTACTCAGATTGGTGTGTCCAGCACCATCGTGTCTTTTCAGCCTTTTGCCGACAGCCTCCCGATTCAACATGTTGAATCGGGAGGCTGTCGGCAAAAGGCTGTCGGCAAAATAAATCACTCTGATTGGCTGTTCAGCTTAGCGAATCAGTGCATGAGAAGCGAAACGGAAGTGAAGAAGGCACACACAGACGGCTATTATTTTTCATTTTCCAGTACCGCACTAAACATGTTTTTGATTATAAGTCGTTATGTGAAACAGTCTGTGATGGACGAGAGTGAAAATGGAACGCACGCTATTTGAATTAAGAATACACCCTACTGCCGCTTGCTGGTAAGGAGAGTTATTGCCACTCACGCATGCGCAGTGTGTACATGCTACTTGGCCGTCGGCTGAAGTCTTTGCGGTGTGTTCCAGTGCGACTTTTTGTGAGGCGACACAACCATCGGGTCCGTCAGGACGTGTTCTTTGGTGTCAGTTTGGTGTGTCAGGGCCTTAAAGTAACAGACAGAGAATCAGCACTTTTGAAACAGGGCTGAAACAGAGGGGATTATGGGATGCTGCAATGCATGATCCGTTTGGTATTTCAAGCCAAACACTTCAGAGACATGTTTTGTATATATCTGAGACCTATAATATATTGATGAAAAACAGTATAATAGGGGACCTTTAATAGCTAATAAGTTGATCAATTATTTACATGCAAGCACTGCTCCTTCTTTTAGTCGAACAACTTTGCATAGCCGCTGTTCCGCTGTCTTACTCGTAAAACAAAAACAAAACAAAAACCCTCTCTATCAGCCAACTCACAACAGCTTGGCAGAGTGCAGTGCCATGCACAGGCCCATGGGCATGGACTTCAGTCAGAGAGCAAGCTGTTGAATGTGCGCTCCACTTCCTTCCTATGATAGTAAAATGTGGATCTGTAATGTGTTTCCTGACCTGAGGATGGGCCGGATGGAGTGCTGGCACTTCAAGGACGGGTCTTTGGGTCCACAGTTGTCTCTCAGGAGCCAGCAGTATTATATATTGAAACTTTGTTTCGGACACAGCAGGGGCAATCATACAAAACTGCACGAGGCCTTTTTTTAGTCTGAATGGTTTGCCTGGATGCTTATGTGTGCAGTGTATTGTTACATTCAAGTGTTTTCATTGGTTACTGACATTATCTGTTCTACATCCATGGTGAGATTTGGTAACTCCCTGGACATAGCTTTGTTAGGCTATCAACACGATTTAGCGTGTTTATGTTCCTCTGAAACTGAGGGCGCTGCGGGGCTGAAACCAGGAGAACATTTTAATTACAACCATTCAATCACAACATTGTGTTTTAAGGTCAGAGAGGTGGATGGCCGTAAGGGATCTGGGAGGAAACTGATGCCCACAATAACACCCAACGATCCCTCGACTCCCTGTTATTCCACAAAAGCCTGATCTCCGGGTCTCCGTGGCTTGGAAATCATTAAGAATAACAACATAATCATATTGGGAAAGAAATGTTTTTACTTATTGACAGCTGCTGTTTGATTGATGGACTGGTGTTCAACAGTTCTTAAGACACAGTTAGGAATGAGTCTCGAGTCAGCATTATTATCGTTGTAATGGATTTCCAAGAGGAGATAACAGCAGACTATTGATTTTACAGCACATGGTGTTTGAAAGCAGAGCTGACTGATTATATTGGCTTGAATGTGCATGCTGGTTCCTCTGTGGCTCCACAAGAGGTTCGATTGGACCTTGAAGCTGTTGCTGCATCCGACAAGTTATGAATTAATCACACAGCTGCATCCGAAACTCTAACTGTGTGTGAGGGCTAGATCAGTCAAGTTCACTCCTCTTGTGTCACCTTGACTTTTTATTTCCATTTTAAGTGTACTTGGTACATAGGTTTCCAATTTTCAAAAACCCTCTTTGTAAAATAAAACAGTGCTGAAAGCAGCTCACTTTTGCTTTGCTCTACATGATCTTCATTTATGCTCCAAGGACTGCTGGGGAGGATGGATGAATGTGTGGGTTAACAGGACTTGGACAAGGCCTGAAGAACTCTGCGCAGTTTAGTTTCATTGGAGTCATCATTAAATAATAATTACATACTCTTATAGTGAGCTGCTCCAAAGGCACCTCTGCTCAGCTGTGGTTCACTAAGGTCTGAAAGAAATAAAAGATAACTTTTTCTACATCAAATTAACGGCAGACATTTGACCCCAACAGATAATATTGTATTGACATTATGGGGTCAGAAGCTTTAAGAGACTCGAAGTATTATCGTGTGGATTAAAGACCGGCGACCAGAGGAGAAAGAATCCTGACAGAGTCTTTAATATTCCTGCAGAGGCTGGTGTTTTGTTAACTTCCTCGGTGACACTGCTGTACTCCTGTGGTGGCTTTATGGGAATTTCTGATGGCATTAGGATTATCTGCTGAGCTTTTGAATGGCTGTCAGGAGGTATTTAAGTGGTTTGAAAGGTCCATGAAATGAAAAATGAATGTTTTGCACACAGTCTGCACATAAGCAACACATTACAGCTCCTGTACAGAGTCATGCATTATGTAAACTTGGAAGTTAGTGTATAATGCATCCTGTAATGATCTATTCACTGTTAGTATTCAGATACTTTACTTGAGTAAATACTAGTAGGAATACGAGACACTACAAGTAAAAGCCCTGCATTTTAAACCTTATCTAGGTAATGTTTGATCAGCAAATATCCTAAGTAATCAAACATAATATGCAGAAAAGATTCCCTATCAGATATTTACTTATGATGTCTTTGAATTATGATTACTGCTGCCTTGATGTCTATGTTTTACATTGTAGTTGTTTAAGGTTGTGCTAATTTTAACTCCTTTATATATTGTTGAGTAGGATCACATTCTGTGAGATTATCATTATGTTTGCAGTGCCACCGTCCTGTTAAAACCAAGTATCTCGAAAAAAGTAAACTTTTCTTAAGCTCAGAGAAAAAAACAGCCCTGTTTACAGCTTTCTGACGATGCATTTTCAAGCTAATCCAAGGGGGCTTCAAAATGTATTTTTTTACTTAAGAAGGAGATTTATTTTAAATGGAACACTTCATCCTTCCTGTCAGGAAAGCTCAGAAAATGTGTAGATCCATGGTTGTAACTGGACGGGGAGGGGATGATATTTT